TGCTGTGTCGGCTCTGACCTTTCCTTCTGAGGGAAGGGGACAAGGAAACGTGACTGTACCCGATGCGCTGCTGCTCGACGATGTCCAGCTTCTCTGCCTTGTGGATGACTTCCAGGATGACCTCAAGTTCCTGTGGGCTCAGAGCCTGCATCTTCCTCTGCTTCTCAGTCTGGAACGTGTGCACCGACCAGCCTGTCTGGAGCCTGTGGGAGGGGGTGGAGAGGAGAATTAAACTGTGAAAGGAAAGCACAAAACCCCTGCCCTACCCCAGAGGCCAAACCTGCCAGGCACACAGAGCCCACGCCAGCCTTCCATCAGAGACAGAGACATCTGTTCCCTGGCTAATTCCCAAAGTAGGAGACTCTTCTCACTGACCTCATCACCACATCACTCCTCCAGCAGCACTGAGAGTTTTCTCCCTGCCCTCTCATTTCCCTTTCTGCTCCAGTCTGTATTTCACCACTCCCATGTTTGGCTCTACCCATAAAGAAAACCAGTGCACCTCAGGCTGCCTGGCCCCGGGGTCCCCTTGAGAAGGGTGCTGATGCCAAACACCACAAATGCCAACAGCAGATTCCCAACCACAGGCATTACCTGCAGCCTCCTGCCTCCAGATGACACATTTCTAAGGTCCTCAGTTCCATCAACACATCTCCAAGCACGCCTGGAAACATAGTTGGCAACTTCCTCCCTTGGTCTAACCCATGCCTGCACAAGGACTTTAGGAGTCCCTTCCCTCCAGGGCAGGAAGGCCTCACATAGAGCAGCTGATATTCCTTCTTAGCTCACATGGGGACAGGCAGGAGTTTGCACAGCTCAATTAATTACCATTCAGTAGGGGTTTGGAGGTCACTGGATAAAGTCACGACTGTTAGCAGAAGGCAGGGCACTATCAGACAGTTGTCTTAACAAGGTTTCCAGGGGAAGGTTGGAGAAGTGGCAGTGGTGTTCTCTGTTCCTAGTCAGGCAGACACAGAATCACCACCTATTTTCTAACATTCTGCAGCAGGCTGACACCAGAGGTTCACACAAGAGCAGAGGTGGCAGTGGCATGGTCGCAGCTGCCAGAGAAGGCAAGGATCCAAAAAACATATGCAGTTCTAGTGCCTGACTCATCTCCATCCCTTTTTTCTTTAGGTTATGCAGTAATTTAACTTCAGGGGAAAATGAGATCAAGTGACAAGTTCCTAAAAGAAACGAGTGCTGGCAGCTGGGGGTTGCTACCCATGATATTTAGGGCACTGCAGAGATATGAGCCTGCCTCCAAGCCTGTCCTTTCACCCAGGGGAGGGCTAGAGGGTTGGACTCCCACCACACCCCAGCCACACTGCAAACCCCACCACAGGCTGGCAGCTCAGAGCAGCAGCCACACACCCAGCCCCAGCTTCACAGGCTCCTGTCCCACCCCAGCAGCACAGTCCTGGGGTACCCAGGGCTCTGTGGGACAGGCAAACTCCTGCCTCTCAAGAGGGCTGTGGACGAGGCCAGTGACCCTCATAGATACCAGAAACCATTCAGGTCAGAGCTGGGGCTGGAAGGAGAGGAGGAGGGTGGTGAGGACTCACTTGGCACGCAGAGCCAGCTGCCGGTCGTTGGGGCACACCCACTGGCCCATCCCACTGCCAAAAATCGTGTCAGCCATGGCACCGGGCTGGGGAGGAGAGCCAGGGATCACACCTGTAAGAAGCAAACACCAGCAGAGAGCTCAGCTGCCACTCCACCCTCTAGAAAGCACAGGGCAGCACTTGGGACAGCCTCGTCACCCATCACTCCTCTGGCAAGCAGAACAGCAGTGACCTGCTGGCCAAGCACACAGTGGCAGCACACAGACTCTCACCCACAGACAGCAATAAAAACATACCATCCTCATAAAATTTAAACCAATAAATACCTTCAAATATCTTGAAAACAAGGCTGGAAGTTTAGATTTTATGGTACTCTGGAAAAAGAGCCAGACACTCTTTTCTCAGTTCTGGTTTTTCATTTCAAACTAGAGAAAAGTGTTGTTTGCACGAATAATCTCTGCCCAATCACCCCTGGGGTCCCAGTGCTGCAGGAGGACACAGAAAGCCACTCTAAAGGACACAAAGAAGCTACAGTTGCTTTTTTTTTTTAACCTCTTAACGGGGTAACAAACAAAAACCCACGCGACAATCAGCATGAATAGCAGCAAGTCACTTCCTTCATTAAAACTGCCTCCATAATAGCCTGATATTTATAACTACAGCCTACAATAGCAGCTTGTTTGCATTCTCTGATGGTTAAGACAGCACCTCTTGTAGCACATCTCCTACTGCTGCTCCTGGAATGGGCACGGTCACACCACTGATTCCTCGTGTTCAGTGACAATTTCCCTGCAAACCTATCAGTGAAGGCAGCCAGAGCCAAATTCCACAGGCCCACGGGGGAAATGCAGCCCCAAAAGAGACTTTGCAGCGAAGCAGTTCTGAGTCCTACCAGCAGCCTAGATGAATGGAAAGCACCAAGGAACAGGCACAGCCAAAAGATTTCTGTGGAGGTCAACCTAGCGTTGATGTACTGAGCTTTTCTCCAGCAGGATTTGCTCTCCAGCAGAGCAAGCCACTCACAAGTCCTAATGCATAAATTTCCAGGTATTAATACTCACCTTCCCCAGAACAGACACTCACCAGCTTTGAAACCAAACCTGCTGCACAGAGATAACGTGTTTAATGCCGTTTGGCAAACACAAATCAGATAGAATAGCAGGCAAGGTACATCACCTGCCAAGCGTGCAGCAGCTCCCAAGACAACACGTGCTCCAGGCTCCATCCACAGCACACTGCCCCAGAGCTGGCACCTGCAGAGGCCCCACGGCCTTGGCCCCCTGGCACAGGCTGGCAGGCAGCTCAGGCAACTCGATCTCACTCTCCCCTGGCTGAGCTCAGAGGTGCCACACGTGGCACTCACCCCCCAGCACAGCAGCTCTGAGCCACGCTAGAGAACTGGCAGCTATCTATCAGTTCCTATCAGTAACCCCACGTCAGCCTGGAGAGCCCCAACGGCTGCAGGCAACAAAGTACTTCCTCCTCTCTGACCATCCACTTTCTCAAGAGAATTTGAAAACTCAGTGCTTATAACAGGTAGAAGAGGAGGGATTCCACACAAAGCACAGATTTGTTTCAGAGTGAGCAGACAGATGTATAAAAGGCTCTAACAATTCAGCACAGTCCCACTGTGCAGCAGAGTGAGGCGTGGGGGAAAGGTTTGGCAGAGAAAGAGGTTTGAGGCAGGAAGGACAGACAAAAGCATCACACACAATTTTTTAAATCTTTACTACATTAGTTAAGGTGATCACTTTTGAAAGGGCTCATCCCTAGCAGAAATCCTTAAACCCTGACATCTTCCATTTACCAACCACTTTCTCCACCCTGCTCAGCGCTGCATTTTCACCTGGTCCCAGAACACCTCCTGCTCTTTTCTTCTTCCTCACGATCCTCACACACATCCCACAGCAGCTCACACCCAGGGGAGCAATCGAGCATTAACAGCAAAAGAACACTGAGGCACCCGCCCCCGGGCCAGGATGAGAAGCAGAGAGAAGCTACAATTTCACACAGAATGTCTGACCTAGGATTTTCCAGAGATTTTCCAAGCCTGTGATGTGTTGTTACAGGATTACACACACATGTAGCCCCCCACACAACTGCATATATTAAATGCCTCTTCAGAAATAGCACACACTCTTCCCTCCCACTCAGGCACACCTGAAGAGCAGCACAGCCCACGGCCCTGGTGTCCACTGTGGAGGCTGAGGGCACACAACTGTACCAATGTGACCACAGCCTGGTACCTGAGGGATGTTTAGCATAAAATCCAGAGCTGGAGATGAGCCCCAGACTATGGGCAGGGCAGAGGAGTTTGCTTTGCCAGCAGCTGTGCTTTCAGGATGGAAAGCTACACTGAATGCATGTGCTCCTCCTCTGCAGAGCTTTATCTGCTCTAACAGAGCTGAAGGCAACTCAGAATAGAGCACATCAGCTCAGCATTTTTCTCAGGAGAGACCTAAACACATTCTCCAGGCTCCTACCACAGCTTTTCTCAGCGTGACTGAACAAAAACAAGCAATGTCATGCTCTTTTGCCTCTTGTTACTCAGCACAGGCTTTCTGCTCTCCACCATTCCCTGAGCAGCATCTGCAAAGAGAGGAGGAAAACAAAGCACAGCCTAAAAATCCATCACATCCCCAAACAGCCTCCAGACAGAGATGATTCCCTAAAATATTAACAGAAGGATTTTCTTTCGGCAGCGTTGGGTATCTGCTGCTCCCTCTGATGTAAACTGGCACTGCAGGTGGCTGTGCACCTTTGCCTCTGAAAAACACCCTGTGTGCTGTGGCACAACTGCCTCACAGAAGGTAACAAGACATGGCACTGTGGACCACAATTTGCTTGTATAGAAACAGAGGCCCAGCAGGACTGTTGGGAAAGGGATATCTTGCATGGCCACAAGAACCATGCCAAAAAAATGCTACCAGTATCTGGAAGGCATTAAGCATCCTCCCTCTTACTGTGGACAATTTGCTTGTATGGAAACAGAGGCCCAGCAGGACTGTTGGGAAAGGGATATCTAGGGATATCTTGCATGGCCACAAGAACCATGCCAAAAAAATGCTACCAGTATCTGGAAGGCATTAAGCATCCTCCCTCTTATCTCTGTACAGGACAAGAAGTACAGTGGAATCAGCCTAATCAGAAACACCAAGATAGTCAAACCACGCCAGCCTGAGGAGTGATTTCTCCAGGCTGTGGTGAAACATCCCTCTCTTGCAGTCAGCCTCCACTGCATTCTCTGTCAGAAACGCTCCAGTTAGCACCTACCTCACTGAGCCATTCCCTCCCTGCCCTCTGCTCCTCTCAACAAGCTAACAAAAGGCAGAAGCAGACAGTCTCTAGCAGGGACAGAGCAAGAGACACCCACAGCTCCTGGCCCTGCTGCAAGTCCACTGCCTACAGAATAAAAGGGAAGCACAGAAAGAAAACTTAGTGCTACAGAAAGAAAACTTCCCACTCCAAGATCCTGTTTTTTACCTGAATTAGGAATGAAGAGGAAGCTCTTATCAATACTCTATGACCTGCTTTAAAACCCTCCACCTGTTTGTTCCTTTGCTATGATGGAGGAAGTCATGTGAAGCAAAACCTCATTAAATGTGAGTCCACCTGGCTGCCCCTGGCACAGGAGCTGAGGGGAGTGTGGCGAGGAGGGGACACAGCCCTGCAGCGAGTTGCAGGGGGGCAGGAGCACTGTGGGGGAGGCAGAACTGAGCACATTTCTGCCTGCAGCTCTGATGGAGGGCTGCTCCTGCCCTCTCCATGACGAGGCTTGGACTCTGCAGCCAGAGAATAAGGCACCTGAGGACACCACTTCAGTCTGTGAGGAAGATCCTTCTGGTGGGGAAGAGCAGCAGGGTCACACAGCTCACCTGGCCCCACACCCCTGCACAGTGACCACGAGACAGCAAAGGGGGCAGGATCCTTCCCACTGGACAGTTCCCACGTCTTGGTGTGGAAGATGAAGGTGGGCTGCAGGCAGCAGCAGGGCAGCATGTTCCCCAGGCACAGCCTGGGGAGAGGTGAGCACCCTCCCACCCCACCGACCACAGCCCCAGCCCTTGCAGCAGGCACAGAGGAGCAGCAGCAGGCATTGCAGGGTGCACTCCTGACCTGCATTCCAACAACCAGCACCAACTCCAACCAGTGAGTGCAATGGCAGAAGGTTGCCCTGTCAGCAAGTCCCACACTTAGCCCTGTCTGACTACACAGACATAGCCCTTTGACGTGATGCTCTTCAGTTTCATGCTCTCTGGTGAGAGGCCACGACGTGATGCTCTTCAAACAGTTTCATGCTCTCTGGTGAGAGGCCAGTCTTCTCAGCAGAATAGCAACATGAACATCATGTATCTTTACCTTAATAACACAGCACAGTTGTAGCAGGTCATGCCAAAAGTCCAGCGAGCACAGAACCAGCTATCTGGCCAGCTCCAAGAGCAGATGCTTAAAGAAGAGTGTACAAACAGAGAACACAGCACAGCAATACATCTCCAGAACTTCTAAAGCACCCTCCCACTCTCAGAGATCCCTGGATCACACACTCCCTGAGCCAAGCTGTAGCTCTGCATTTAACACCTTTAAAATGTTTTTGTCCCAAATTTACCTACTTCCTTTTTCAGATCATGCATGCTTCTAGCATCATCTTGCCATACCAAGTCTCTTCCCAAACTCCTCTCTACCTCAAGCACACCTTGACTACATCATAGTGGACACTGAAGGGTCTTGCTGACATTGAGGTGGTCAAAGTGGGAGAAGACACCTCCTCCCAGCAGCTAAAGCACAGCCTGCACCAGCCCTCCTGCAGCCAGGCTGACTACAGGTGCCCACAAAGCACCAACTCCTCACAGCCCTGCAAACATAAAAATGTCCTGTACAGGCCCGTAAGGAGCTCTCCAGTCAGCTTTCATTTGCCTGGTTACTTCAGCTAAGCAGCTCATGTCTATATTAATTTGGTTTTATACGAAATTAATTAGGCAATTTTTTTTTTTTAAATACTTCATTTAAAAAATAAAAATTAAGCAGTTGGCCAGAGCCAGTTCCCAATTCCCAGGCTGAGCTGTGCCCGTGTAATTAA